ATTACAAATTTCAAATGATTACGCACCTTCGAACAGCGAATGAATGAAGTGACAATTCGCGCATGAGCATGAGATGACATTTGGATTCAAACTATTCGGAGAAAACGCCAATTCCCCCGACAAAACCCTGTGGAATTATTTCTCTTGATATCTAGAGAAAATATTCCACAAGAAAATTTCAAAAATCACATTATCTGTGTGTCAAGAGAAAATGACGTAATTTTCTCTAATGAACTAATTCTCCTGTTTTCAAAAATCAGGCCCCTGGGGCTTGATTTTTGAAAACAGGAGAACTGATTCTCCAGAGAAAAAATTCACCTGACAAATTTCTCTTAAAAACTTAAACACTTATTTTTGAACGTTGAAGGAATCCAATTCTCTAGAGAATTTAATTTATGCCGTATGTCGAGGATATATTTGCAACTGACCAATCAGCGGGCAGAGTTTTCTTCAATATTTCAGTGCCATTATTGGCGACCCTGATGTTTAGTCACTTGATTTGATTTTGAAGTTTGTTTTGTAAATGTCATTATATTCGTCAGGGAGACTAGACTGTGGACTAGACATCTCCATGATATTTGTAGTAATTTAATATAACTTCAATTTGAATAGAAGTATATTTGAAAACACAAAAAATATAATATTATTATAATTATGATGAAGCGTTCGTTCACGTCGAAAGCGCAAAAAAGAAATTAATATGCTTAGAAACAACGAAGAACTTTTTAAAATGAAAGTTTTCTTCTACTTTTACTCACAAAAAGGCAAAATACTCAAAAAATAAAGATAAAAAAGTATTCCATTCCGGCATTCACAGATTGAGATTACTAACTCGGGATTTGATTTGAATATGTAAATACTGTACTATTTGTAATTTTCCCTTTTTTTTACTATGTTCGATTATTTAGCTTATTAGGTTTATCTAAAATGAGAATTTCAGTGAAAAGAGAAATTATAAATTCGATATTTTGCTACCAATTTCAGCTATAAAAATTTGAACCAAGGAAAATTATTCGTTGAAAAGTATGTGGTGTCACCTATACGACACTCAAAGAAATTGGATAAATGTCGTTATATTTCAAAATGTTTTAATTTAATTTGATTTTCTATAAAATTTTGGACATTAAAACGTCTTCTAAATTAATTAAAACCTTCTGTATTCTTCTAAGATAGTGCAGTAATTTTTGTAGCCCAAAGTTCATTGAAAATGGTTTATATTTCTTTAAGGTAACTTTGGCGGGTTTTATACAAACAATAGTTTAATGGCCGCAAATGTAGAGGTTTCGGATGGAGTTGTACAAGGAACGGAGACGCTACAACGAGTAAGTAAATTAGATTAATGAGATCTAGCTAAAAAACGGCTCTGCCCAACTCTGGGACAAGTTCTAATAATGTATAATCCAGTAAAAAGTGGTAAAAACGACGAGTGTGAACATATATGTTTGTGTTGTGCTGTGAGGAAATTTTATACCCACTGTTTTCGGAAATGGTATATCCGTGCCAAGTACATCGTTCAAGAAAATGAAGACCTTTGTCAGATAAATTCTACGGTGTTTTTTTTGTTACAGTTGTAGTAAGGGAGTCTCCTGGATCGAACCCCAAAAATGACGTCTGCGGCCAGTAACATCCATACAAATCGTCTGAAAAAAAGTATTCCAGAGCAACAAACTGCAGTACCTGACAGCACAACAACAATAGAAAGAGAAATGTCCGAGTTTTCTTTAGGCCAAGATGTTTTAGTTAAGCAGAAAGATGATCGGTATTATTTCGGAACCGTGGTCCAAGTGAATAGTATTAGAGAACAGTGTTTAGTGAAATTTGGAGATAATACATATAATTGGTCGTGCTATAAGGACTTGACCAAGTTGAGTACTTCAGAACATGAGGACTTGTTATGTGTCGTTTGTAAAAAATCTGCTCCAAAGAATAAACATGAGATCATCGTTTGTGATAAGTGCGGTAGGGGGTATCATCAGAGGTGTCATCAGTCCGAGATTCCTGTTAGTTGCCAAAAGGAAGGTTCGTACAAAAATAATACTTATATAAATAATTACAGCATATAGTTGTTTCTTGAAATATCTGAAACAAAATTTATTAACAGGAAAAGCAGTTGAGAAGTTATTCCTCAAATTAACTGTTCTAATTTTAATATTTTTTGCTTCTCTTCTTTCACATTTATTATTAGAAACATAAATGAATTATTTTTATTTAAAACAGTCTAAAATCAATCATTACATTTTTTGCATATTTGAAAAATATTTCTCATTGTGACATGATTAAATGGTAATCTGCTTATATTCAAATTATAACATGTATCTTCAAATATCATACGTCTGTACATTTTAAAACATTAAACATAACCATCTTATATTGTTATCAGTGATATGTCATGCATGCGATAAAGGTTGCTTTTTATTTATTAATGCAGTTGCAGTCCGTACGATATTTGTTGAGATTCCAAGAAGACCACTGTGTCACTTTCTTGGAATTAACCGCATTCGACATCCGAGGTAGACAGACCATGGTGGAAAATTTCAAGGCGCGCCCCTGCTGTGGTAAATTGTTACAGTAGCTCTTGAAATTTTACCTTAACAAATGTTGTACGGACTGTAATGGCTGTAGGTTTGGTAAATATTTTTAAGCAAAACTGAATACTAAACATGTTGATTTATAAAAAATAGTAACTGAGCCCAATTAGAAACTTCTTTTAAATATAATAGTTTATAGTTCCAATAAAATTTACCAGAAGTATTATTTAAACTGATTATCGTCATTGCATTTTCAAAATGTGACGTGAATTTTACCAATTCTTCAATAGAGTTAAAAAAACTGTTTCTTGGCATGTTTTATTTAAGAATTACAACAGTTATTATTAATTATACCGAGAACAGTCAGAATTCTGTAGAAAATAAGATGGCTGTTTTAACCAGATTATGCGGTTTGATGTCATTTATCGAATGTGCAGAACTTAACACATCTTGCTCAAAATATTCACATGACACATTTTGAAGGCACAACGTTGTTATATTAGTATGTCTTTAGTTTAGAACTTTTTGGGATTTTTATTTTATATATCAAACACAATTTCTCTTTACTGATAATTTTCGCTTCAGGTTCAACGTGGATGTGTAAACGGTGTTTAGACAGCGATCCACACCGACTGAAAAAAAGCGATCTAAGGCATCGAAGGGACTCTTTACGTAGCGTTTCATCTTCGAGCACTCACGAAATCCAAGCCTCTCCCTCGTCAACTGTAAAAGTATTACCATATGATGTGAGTCAGTGGTACATTGTAAATTTAACCTTAGTTGATGTAGTAACTGAAGCGAGTGATGTTCTAATATTATTGTGGGGTTTTTTAGCTGAACTCGTTAAACTGGGATACATATCATAGAGTAAACGTTGAACAAATCTATTGTTATTGTGGGGGAAACGGAGAATGGTACAAGCAAATGCTGCAGTGTGGACGGTGTCGGCAATGGTTTCACGAGAAATGCCTGGATTGTCTCCAGTACCCTTTATATTGTGGAGACAGGTAGGTTTAGCTAGTAGTTTGGAAACTATTGTATGATCAACATTCAACAATTCAGCAAATTCTTCTCAAATCCATACTCTTACGTATTTATCAATGGAGTGTGTTTACCGTAAGTTTTCAACAACACTTGATTACTTCCAGTTGTCCTTTTCTTTGAATTAAATAGGAAAAATAAAACTTCCCGCATATGGCTCGTAATTTGACGTCTTCAAAGTTGAGAAAAAATACGTTATTTACACTTCAGAAAATTGACACATAATAAAAAGTAAAACCTAATGACAGAGCTTTGACATGAATATAGTTACAAAAGTATCCGATGCGATATAGCATAAGTTACGCCGTCTGTTGTAAATCCTTCAAAATTAATTCAGTGGTATATATTTATCTCTCTGCGAGACTGAATAAACTGTGGTCACACAGCAATTAATTAAATGCTGCCCTTATATTTTTAAAATTTAAAAAGGTTGTCAAGATTTTTTCTGACAATCCATGTATACCAAAATATTAAACAGAGACTCGTTTTCAACATTTCAACATGTAGATCCTTACGACGGGTAAGGTATGCAGGCAATGCAATTCGATGAAAAAAATTATTAAATACGGAACAGAAAGATATGCTGATTTTAGTAAAACTTAGATTATGCTTGCAAATTTATTCTTATCTTTGTATATATGTATTCAGCAATTCTGCCTTCAGTGAGAAAAATGGCCAACTGCCAGCTCTATACAGTTTTTTTTCTTCTTTTTTTATTATGAGACAATCAGCACTTTTGCCAACTGGACAAGTTGCCTCTGCGAATACGAGTAATCTATTTATGTAGTGTTATAACAGTATAGTGACACAAAATCGCTAAAACCACCAAAATTATTGAAATTCTAAACATCACTGAAAAATGAGATGCACTACCGATAAGACATTATAAAAGACCGTTATAAGCATTGGTAAAATCACTATCACTGTTGCCAAAACTAACGCTGTGACTACTGTTCCCCTAATTGTACAATAAGTGATTCCATCAGAACTTTAACTTTTGTATCGAGGTCTCACTTTTGATATTTTTAATTTTTGTTTGTTATGTGCAACATGCATATCTCCGTCGTTATCTAATTAATCGCCTCCTACAGAAACATTTACATCTCCTAATTTAAAAATTTTGTGGCACTTAAGTTTTTATATTCGTCCAGATTTAGTTCAGTTGGGTTCAGCTTACAGTGGCATGGTGACAATCGTAAAAATGTAACACCGCGAACTTTAGCCGTTTTATCTTCTACGTATTTCTTTTAAATACCCTGAATAAACTTTATTATTATTATTATATTTCGTGTATTTGGCTCTTTTTGTATAATCTTTCCGAACTCGGTTGTACATGTATAAAAACGTTTAGCAATAAAATTTAATGAGTTTCATAGGCATCCCTAAAAAAGTTTTCTGCTAAGTAACAAAGTACCTATATAATGTGTAGAAAATTTTTTCAAATATTTCAATGCCTAGTTGTTGCGTAGCAACCGAACCTGCTACAAACTGAGTAGCTCTTTGGGCTTCAATTGAGATCGGAAAGACTATACAATTGCTAATAGTTGTATTTTTAACATCGCATCTTTATATTCTATTTGTTGATGTCAGTAAGGAACAATATGATAATGACAGCATCAGGTTCAATAAGAGGCAAAATAGACTCAAACAATTTTTAAATACCCCACTGCTCCAATCCTCATAGTAATCTCTTGTTCATTGTGACTACACATCTAAACCATTATCCAAAAATCTGTATTCACTTCCAATATGTGTATTTATTAATCTCCGTTCTTCCATAGAGGCAGCCTTTAGTCTCATAGAAAATCCATTCGATAAATACTTCTCGCCTACTGTTGATCATTCATTTATCCATGTTTCAACTTGTTTTCAGTGTACTATTATTCAGTCTAAATACTCTTGTCGTCATACTATAATTTCGTACTTTGGATTAGCATACTTTTCAATTTCGTTTTTAGTAACTAATATTTTTTTCGAACATAGTATGTAGTAAAATTTTTTGAATCCGTTTAGGCAAATCTACATCTGCAATTGCAGTATGACATTTCTTTAATCTACGAGGTTGAAAATCCGTAAATCTTCTTATGGCTTATATATTTAACATCGTCACTTTTTAAACCATGATAAACACTTTTTACAGATACTTCTGTTGTAGAACTGCACAGTTTCATAATATCACTCACGGACATCTGTTTTTCGTGCCTGAATCCCCTTGTACACATTGTTTATTATACAACATTCTTTATCTGTTAAATTCGGTCATTTACGATTGCCGTGATTATGAAATTAGCCACTAACACCTGTACGATTTTATTTATTTAACAAGTGTTATTGAAACAACTACAAACTGAAAATGGTAACAGGCCTTTTCCACTTGTACGCTTATGACATGTACTGACCGTGTTAAATTAGAAATAAAATAGTGTAACAATAGAACATTCCTAAGTGTATGCGAAATGAAAAGCAATTATATAATGTTTGTTACTATTATTGTTACTATTTGGACACCTGAATATAGAAGTATGAATTATGCAAGTTGTGTATCAGAGAAAATAAGTAATACAAAGCCAAGTTTACGGTCTTAAATAGTTCTTTAGTTTTCCTCAAGGGGAAGCAGCTCTTGTAATTTTTGTTTTTAGGTTCTACGTGTTTGTGTGTTCGATATGTAACCATGGAAAAGATTTTTTAAGAAGGCTGGAAATGAAGTGGGTGGATTTGGTACACCTTATGCTGTTCAATTTGACTGCTTATAATTGTAAAAAGTATTATGATTTGGATACAGTTGTCATTCCGTACATCCACGATAACTGGCATGCTCTTCAGCTACCACCAAAGGTACAGTGTACCTCTGAAGTAGTCTGGCCACACTTCACGTTAAAATTAACGCATCACTGAAAATGGCTAATCTGATTTTGAAGATCTTTGTTAGTTACAGGTTTATACCTCAGTACAATATTGAAATTTTTATTGACGTTTAAAAAAAAGGTTTTGTCCGTTAATGAGAAAATGAACAGTGAAATAGGGACTCATTTTTACTTGTGCGTTGATTTTGATTTGAGAGAATTCCTTCTAATTAGTGTTATTATTCATATTTTTAGATCGCAAACGTTAGTAAGTCTGAACGAAGAGAGAACATCCTATCCGTTTTGACAAACAACCGCAACCGCTTTAAATGCGGCCGGGAGATAAAGAAACGTACGACGATATGGGGACTGCGCGTGCGTCTGCCTCCCCCAGCCCCCTGCGTCACCCTGCCCGTTAGTGGTCTGGTGACAGAGGAGGAGCTGCGCGAGATGTGGCAAGGAAACAGAAGACTGCAATTCCTACAGTTAGATAAAAATATACCAATTAAGAGGGTGATTCCCACAGACACCCACATGAAGAGTCTCATGATGGGCGTGGCTTACCAACAGAACTCCACGCATTCCGAGACGGACTCGCCCTGCCCCAGTCCGGAGATAGGCCGCGAAGAGCCCACAGTAGAAAATAACTTGAAGATAGTACAAAAAGCCGAGTTCTTAGGTGCAGGTTGTGCCAAAAAGAGTGTACCCTTTAAGAAAATGAGTTTACAGCGAAGGAAAAAGTTACTAGCCATGAATAATAGGGATCGAGACAGGCTCTTGAAGAGGCCCAAACGTAGGGTAACCTGCGAGGGGCTGGGGGACAAAGCCTCGAAGGAGGGGCAACCAAAAAGACTAAGTTTAGATAGTAAAAATAATAAAAGTAGTGAAACACTGCCACCCACCCCTCCGACGTCCGTCAGTGCTCCTCCCACCCCTCCTGCTTCCAATACAACATCGATTATATCGGATTTAAGTAACGACTTTTCGGAAAACTCAAACAACATGACGAAAGTAATAAACGTTAAGAAATCCAGTCTGCTGGACCTGGCGTCCGAGCTGAACACGCCCTGTGACACTTCCGGGGACGAGACAAGTTCCAAAAGTACCCTGGACACGATCATACCGCCCCCCAAGGACTTCGAGGGTAAAAACAACCCGTTCCTGGCACTGCTGAAAGTGGTGTCGGAGGACAGGAAGGTGAAGAAGAAGAAGAACAACAAAGAGATCACCCTGCCATTGCCTTTAACAGCTGTGATACCTGGTAAGCCCGTGATGCGGCCCATGAAGAGGCAGTTGAGCGAGAAGGATATCATCATAGGACCCAACGGGCAGGTGAAACGCAAGAGGTTTAGGAGAAGCAGAAATCTTAACATTAATTATACTGCCGGGCAAACGGCAAGTAAAACGGCTGCCGTGGTGCCCGTTCGACCTGACGCCAAAGAATGGGGGCAGAGGTCGAGCCAATCTCAGACTAACTCACCTATAGGTAAGTGTAAACTTTTATATACGCAAAGTGTCCGCATTACAGGTGCTTTATATGTGAACACGGAACAAAAAGTCCTATGCAATGTTGGTCCTGAAATTAACGGATTTTGAAAAAAGTTCGCGAAGTTCAAACTCTCCTCTCTATCTATCTCCTCTCTATCTATCTCCTCTCTATCTATCTCCTCTCCATCTATCTCTCTCGATCTACCCTCTCCATCTATCTCTCCTCTCTATCTGTCTTTCCTCTTCATCTGTCTCCTTTCTATCTATCTCTCCTCTCGATCTACCTCTCTTTTCCATCTGACTCCTCATATCGCCCTCATCATCTTTCCATAGCTGTGTTATTTATTCATCATTTTAACGTAATAGATTCTGTAGAGCCCATCACAGACCATATTTTTTTAAAACTGACCAGTAATACTGCTGTCCATCCCATCAAAATGACAAATAAAGAACCCATGTCTCTCACCATTTTTCCATCTCTCTCATGATTTCATCTCGCTATCTCTTTATATTTGTCCGTCTTGCCATCTCCCGCCACCTTTCTATCTCCCGCACCTTTTTATCTCCTGCCGTCTTTGCACCTCTCCTCGCCTTTCCATCTTTCGCCGCTTTTCTATTTCTGTCCCAAAAGACAAGCAGAAATCTTCGTTCAAGCAATTTGAAATATGTTACGAGTTAACGGAATCTAACGACTATTTCAAGGTAACTGCGTGGACTATGCCCTTAATGGCCGACGTCTGAGGCAGCGACCGGAGCGGCCTCCCCAAGAGAAAGAGAAGGTGTCGAATCCCCCCACGCCCAAACCCAGTCCTGTCAAACAGGAACCGGATATAAGCATGGATGACCTGAAGACTTCCGTCAACATTTACTTCGGTGCTGCCAACCGCATAGCCGCGGGAGAGCGGTTCGGGGTGAAGGCGAAGCGTATCGGCCCTATGGGCAAGATGGAGTACTTGATCGAGTGGGAGGGGCCTAGTAACGGAATGACCTGATATGCGTGTTTCGGTGTTTCTGCTTATCGTATTCCATTTCCAGCCAGTGGGTTAAAGGATGTTTGGAGAGGCGTAGATTTTTTTATTTCGGTCGTTGCGGCGCGTTTACAGCTCATTGGTACTCGAAACGAGCCGGCAAAGGGGGCATTAGTTACCTAATGTATGTGGTTCCTCGTCCATGTTTTAAAAATCTACAGAGAATTGTAAAGGATTTGCTTGAATGTTTCCGCGAATCAGGTAACGTAGAAATTAGCTTTGATATACAGGGTATCTGTAAATGTCTTTACCTTTATTTGTATCTTATTTTGCAATTATTTAGTTTATATATATTTTATTTTCACTTTTTTGGTTTCAAATAAGACCTTTACATTAAAGTTTTTTGTAGGCCGAAAAAAAATGCGAAAAAGGTTTAGAAATAATTTATCTTAAAAACTAAGTGTTTAAAAACAACCCCTTGACCGATCCTTTCAGTAAAAGGGATTATTTATTGCAAAAATGTTCTCTCGAATCAGAAACTGAAATTAAAAAAAAATGGTCTGCCTATATAAAAAGTATTATACAAACTCGTACTATTATTACTTTGATTAGTATAGTAATTATCTTGTAAGTTTTTTACTTACTATTTTCGAATGACCTAAAAACAGATTGTATTTTATATGAAGATACACCAATGCATCCAGCTAATCTTGAAGTCAAAATATGATAATCAGACCCAATATTACGGAGTGTTCAGATTGAAATTAAAGAGAATATTTTTGTAACTGGCCAATTACAGGGTGTATGCTAATGAGGAAAACCAGGAAATTCCATAAATTTGGAGGCAATATCGGAATTTCCGTTTGTAATCCTTGTTATTTATGAGATGCTACCAATGAATATCACTAAATTATTCTGTTAACATATCTATTTCTACTTTAACTTGGGGTATTCCTAATTGCATAAACCAAATTATCTGACGGAACTTTTCAAAATAAGAAAAAAGTTTCCATAAATATGGACTGGGAAATGTTTAGTTTATAAGATACAGAATTTTAAGTTGTAATCTTCGAAACTGATTTTTTAAATATATTCAAAACTGATAAAAATAAACAAATGAAAATTTACACAGATATTTTGGTTTTTAAAGTTTATGAAATGGAGCCTAAGTCAAATTTTGCTTATTTATGGGTGTGACATTTTTTTGCTTATCAACATTATTATTAATTATTATTAACAATTGTTTACCAAAAAATCTTGTGCTTTTTTTAATCAAATTACCCACTTTCAAGTACACCCAAATTTTATAGTTTATCTCAACTAAATGATCTAAAATATTTCATCAAAAAAGTTGAAGCAAAATTTTATATACAGGGTGATTCAGGTTTAATGTGGATAACTTCAGGAATCGATAGAATAGGTTAAAATAATGTTCATTCATGACATAAACTTATTTCCTAAATCGCACCGTTTCGGAGATAGAGGGCGTTGAAGTAGGAATTTTGTTCCCGGTTTTCCCTCATAACTTTTGAACCACTCATCCGATTGAAGTGAAATTCGGAACACAAACATTCCTTATGGTCTTACATAAGCTCCTTAAGTTTGAACCACCTACCACTCTTAGAACTCCTTGTGTGCTACCTCCTTCCTACATTATTTCAAAACTTTAAAAAAATTATTTAATTTCAATAAAACAGTTGCACACCACCTTTGCCTCATTAATTTTGAAACTTTTTCGTCATTTGTTTTTTTTTTTTCAATAATCGGCCTTGTTTCTGAGATATTCAATGAAATTCGTGACAGTGTAACGCCCGAGGTAGCTCCCAAGCCGCGTAAATTTCATTTTACGTTATAGCAACCCATGAAAAACAAAACTCACAGTAATTTGTACAAACTGACGTTTGTGGAAATCATCTTTAAAAGTATTATTAAGTTCAAAAGTTATGACGGAAAAACGGGAAAAAAATTCCTAGTTTAACGCACTCTCTCCCGAAATGGTGCGATTTAAGAAATAAGTATATATCATGAATGAACATTATTTTAACCTGTTATATCGATTCATGAAGTTATCCAGATTAAACCTGAATCACCTGTATACAATTTACGAGGCTGGGGCGCTACACTGTCACGAATTTCATTGAATATCTCAGAAATAAGGCCAAATATCGAAAAAAACCAAGAGACATAAAAGTTTCAAAATCAATGAGGCGAAGGTGGTGTGCAGCTGTTTTATTGAAAGTAATTAATTTTTTAAAAGTTTTAAAATAATATAGGAGGGGGGTAGCACACAAAATACACTTCTAAGAGGGGTAGATGGTTCAAACTTGAGAAGCTTTTGTAAGATTATAAGGAGTGTTTGTGTTGCGAATTTCACTACAATCGGATGAGTGGTTCGAAAATTATGAGGGTAAAAACGGGAAAAAAATTCCTACTTCAACGCCCTTTATTTCCGAAATGGTGTGATTTAGGAAATAAGTTTATATCATGAATGAACCTGTTCTACCGATTCCTGAAGTTATCCAGATTAAACCTGAATCTATATCTCAGTTTTACCCATTCCTAAATGATTTTATTTTATATTTTCTTATTGAGGATAAAAAGTGAAATACTTTACTGTAAATTTTAATTTGTGTTTAGACATTTTAAATTTATTAAAAGAAGCGTTTTTATTGAAATTTTCTTCCAAACTAAATAAAAATCCCTCATTAGGTATAGATTGCCTTAGTTACTTTTAAATCAAAATGCAAACTTTAATTTTTGAAATAATTATGCTTCATTTGGAGTGGAGGATACTGACAAAAAATATGAAAAATGCTTATGATTAAAAAATAAAAACTAATATAGAACTTACATTTTTGCCTGAACTTTTCGTCAAATCTTCCAGGGAAATTTGGAAATATCAGAATTTTTTTTTGTCAAAATTTGGTAATACACCTTGTAATTATCTTTAAATTTGACGTGAGATATATGGACTTCCGTTAACACAAAAAATTTCAGCCTGATTAGCTCTAGTGAAGTGATATGGTCATAACTAGAATATTACAAAATTCAAAATAAAAGGTTACTACACTGGCCAAAATTATATTTTGAAAAGAGGGGCATATTTTGAAAATATTTTATAAGTCACCTGTTTTGGTTTCTTTAGTCTATTAAAAAAAAATTCATTTCTTATTTTACAGATAATGTTAATTTGCAGATAATGTTCTTATTAATAATGTTATTCTACACCTCCCAATTATTTAGTATTTACTAGTTTCTATAGATTTATTCATTTTTAAATTTCACGTACAAATTTAAAATCTTAACAGTTAATGGTACGAGGTTTGATCAAATAGTAACGGGAATTGTTACATTTCTCATAAAGTATTTATTTAATCTTCAATTTTTATCCCATTGTCTAGTCCCTCTGTGATATACACAGTTTCGTTTGAGAAACACTGGTGAATACCTCTTTAGCTGTCGTCTTGAGCACAGTTTGCGATTTTGCCCTTACCTATTGTTGAAAAACGTCCTTTGAATATCCTTTTGAGTTTGGGAAATAGAGAAAAGTCACAGGGGTTATGTCCGTGGTTGCAGCGTCACTATGGTGTTGTGTTTCGCCAAGCACTGTTGGATAAGTAAAGCGGTAAGCGCCAGTGCATTATCATTGTGCAAAATCTATGAACTGTCTCTCGTGCTCTTGTCGTTTTCTCCTGATTGCCTCAAGCAAAGTGCGCAAAACTTGAGGTAGTAATATTTGTTATGAACTGTTCCATTGTAGTCGAGAAAACGGTTCTTCACATTTGACCAGATTTCGCCTCATCTACGATATCTTAACCTTCTTGAAAACTTTTGTACCATTGATAAACTCATGACATTGTATCGTCGCCAAAGTCTCTGAATTGACAGGAATATCACTGACAGTGTTACCAATACACAAAAAAAAGAATCAACTCGATAGACAAGATACAACATGCACAATTAGAAAATTTCCATTGCTTTTTGGTCAAACTTCATATATATATTCAATAAACTTTATTATTTCACTTTCATTAAATTTTTATGAATTAACTTTGAAAAAAAAAAACAAGTTTGAGCTTTTGTGTGAACCATTTATGATAGAAAAAAATATCGAAGTAGATCAAGCAAAGGGTGTTGTAGAACATGTTATTAAATTATAAATAAAATTTATTTTTCAAAAAAAGGATCTGCAGTTTTGAGGAAATTTTAATTTCCAAATATACCTACATGTTTTTTGGGTCTGTTTCATAACAAGTATTTGAACTTCATTTGTTTTTTACTTGCTGTATTAAGGGGGAACATCTGAGTAAACAACAAAAAGAATAGATGAATTTTAGGAATTATCTCAAAAACTATATGTTCGATTTTATCCAGGTTTGGTTTTGTTTGAAAGTATACATGTTGAGATATGCTGACAAATTTCTTTATAAATATATATCGACTGGGAGCACTGCTGTCATGATCGGCGTAAAAATGTTCCTCACTCGCACAGTCTGCGGTTCCCAAGATTATATGCAGTTTGTTCACTGAAAAAATTTGAAAAAAAATAAATTTTTTCTACTAAGATATTCTCCCTTAATCATAGATGCTGATTGGTCTGAAGCATTAAAATGTCATTTTCGACCCAAAATACAGATGCCTTAAATTAGGAAAGTTTCGCAGAATTTTCAACCGTTTCAAATATTTTTTTATGTTTCTTACAAAGTCATATACAAAATCTATATTTTTACATTGTATATTTTACCTTTCTCCTCCATATTGTTTTTTTACTCCTGAAAACTTATTCTCTGTGGAATTTTAGGACACAAAGTAAATTTAGGTGATGAAATGATGGAAATGTAATTTTTCTACAATAAATAAAATAAGAAACAAATGCAGGTATCATTTTTTAATTATAAAAACTGCCAAAATAAAAAAATAAAAGAGTCACTGCCACTATTGTTGATGATTTTTAAGTTGGTTGCCAATAGTAAAAGATTAGGTGCTTATTCATGCGTAATTTACTGGGAAATCAAATGGTTCTGTATTAGTGGTTGTTTTGGGATTGTCTTCGACTGGAAACAGCCATCTTCAATAATTCGTGAATAGTTTATCAGACTAATTTTGTATTATTTTTATACCATTGTTTTTGTTGATTATTTTTGAAATATATATATTTTTTTAGAATTGAATAAGTAATTGTAATTTTGAGAAAAAAACATATTGTGTGATTTTAAAGATTTAATTTGATATATATTTTAAGTATTGTTATTTTGTGGGTGTATAAGAGAGATTGTGTGAAATTAGTAAATTTTTAATGAGAAAAGTTTGATCAATGATATATTGGTAAGTTTATTGGTGAGTCCAATTTTGACGATAGACTTGAACATTTTTCTGAAATGTTAAAAAAAAACAATTTTCTATATTTTTTCAACTAACTTTCAAATAAATTTAGCTCTGTTTTTCTACGGCGAACACGACTATATTCAAAATTAAGAGCTCTGGAAAAATACAAGTAATTTTTCGTATAATAGAACCATGCCATTTTTTGTTTTATTAAATTAAAGCAAATGTTTACATTTCTGCCGCTGGTTATTTAGGGATCTTGGTATTACCTAATATTGTGGTAACTTATTTAGGTGATGTGTTTCAATTTTAATGAAGAGTAAACAATTATATATATATTTTTTTAATTTCCATCTAATTCACTCAATACAATAATGCACAGCATCTTTAACTTATTAGGCTTATGTCAAATTAGACAGTATTTATTTAATACTTAATTTGGGGGTAACAAAAGTTCAATAACATTCAGCGTACTAGTAATAAAAATATAATTTTTTAAATGACATTTTAGATTTGTTTGTTATATTCTTGGATGAATAAGCACCTGTTGAAAAATTGCTCAGGTGATAATTCAGGAAAGCAATTTTGGATATTGGCCAAAACCAGCGATTGTTATATATCAGCTCTAAATTGAAATGACTGTATTAAATGTTTTCTTTATTTATTTTAAACGATTATTGAAGTTGAGAGAATGTTGTTATTGTTTTAAAATCAAATTTGATGTATAAATTGTGTACAATAATTTTTCTTTAGTCTATTTGATATTTTAGTTAATTTTATTTATTCAATCAAAATACATTTTTGTTGTCGTCTAAACTGTAATTAGATTATTAATCTTATATACCATTTTTTAAATAATTTTATATGCGATGTCTATGTACCCATTTAAGGCATTTTTTCAAATTCTGTACAGAAATTCAATTGAAGCCTAAATTTTTCAAAAAATCTAAGCGTTTATAGAGAAGACTTATGGAAATAATTTTGTATTAAAACGTTGTAACATGTCATACAAATAAATGTGATGTCACACATGACGAAACATTTCTCTATACCTGTTTAGTTTTATTTCAATATATTTTTATATTATGGATATTTAGCAAACACTTTTTCTGCCGAGTAATAATCGAAAAGGTAGAACGTTTCTAGGTCTATCTACAGTAATTATTTGGTCGAAGAAGTTCTTTTTGTACACATTTAGTTAATACATTCTTTTTAAGTAGATTAAATGAGACTGAATTTCTGGGTGTAGATACTTACATCAGTTTATGCTAGTTTAATATCATTTCGTCTAAAAAACTTTGTAAAACTTAGATCTTTTGTAAATATAATTTTAGATCAAAATTTAACAATGTGAATTTGTGTATCTGAGAAATCATACAAATTTCGACTAAATTTGTATTTTTATTAAAAATTAATTTAAATAAACCAACTGTACAAATATCTATTACTTATATTTATACCTTTTAATTTAACTTTTTTTTTTTTCAGATAAATAATAAATAGTTTTAGTGATTGCACACACATCACAGTTGGCAAACGATTATTTTTTTTTTTTACTAATTTTTGGGTAACCATGAATGTATGACTGCAATTTTATTAGAAATCGGCAAATGCATGCAAGAACTATTGCATAAAACATGGTGCTTTTCCATCTTGCTGATCAATTTTTGCATGTCACTGTCGATAGCAACAGGATCATCTGTCCTGGGACGTTACTGACTCTGTTGATCAAATGGAACATATTGCATTTGTTTTCTTAGAGCTAGCACATTGTTGATCATCTGCACATGTCCAATCCTTCCATGTTGATTTTTACCTACTTGGTAAGTTTTTACTTACTAAGTTGGATCATGTTGCCGGCACTGGCCAGGTCTCCGACTCTGGTTGCTGAACTGCCGATACATTGGGTCACAGGCAGGGGCATCTCCACTGACAGCTCTCTTGCGTGGACCAGTGTAGTGCATTCCCTTTTTTTGAATTTGGAGAATTTTTTATCTCCGATATCCGAACCTGGAATGGCATCGTTGGCAGTGTAGACTGCTGCGACAGGGAGCTTTTAGGCTGCTGGGACTAGTTTTCGGCACCACGACGGGAAATTTGGAAAGGTCGGTGAAATTTTCCAATCTTGTACTGCATCGTCCTGGGGATCTCCGTTGACGGCAACATCTCTGGCGACGTTGGCTACTGTGTCTGGAACAATTTTGGGTGCGACGATAGGAAATTTGGAAAGGTCAGTGAAGCTTTCAATTTCGCGCAGGTTTGGGGCTCTGGGTCCTTTGAGGCATCGTCCTCGGTTCTCGCTGATGTCAGTTTTGAATAGAATGGTTTATAACGACTCCACAGTCCCAATTGAAAAGTTACGTGAATTATTTACAGACGCAATGCATTGCTTTGTACATATTTGTATAGTGACCTATTACCTGTAGGTACTATAAAAGCATGACTTGTTGGCAGTAACTGAAATATACTTTTTAAGTAATGCTATCGTCATTATTATATTGTTATTGTCGTGCTTTCACAGTAGGTCGTTCTCTACTAGTAAGTACAAAGTAATTATTCATTGTGGCAGTAGGCATTAGGTAGAAACACAGACCACCTAGACTGGCTTATAGAGCGACTTTGGTGAAAACACTTGATTTGGAGCCCAGCGCTCAGTCGTGTCCTAGCATTTGACGTGTACGCATCGCTGTGATTTCGATAATTAGACGTTTTATCATGGGCAAGTGTATTGTAAAACATTGTATAAATAGAAGTGATCGAGTTGGTGAAGAGAGGCGAAAAATTTCCTTCTTTAGATAAGTAAAAAAAAGGAATATATAAAAGGTAAATATGTACGCCATTTTTCGGTTAACGTCACAAGTTTCCAGGGTTAGCTTTATAATTTTGTTCGCCCACATAGTGTAGTGATTAACGTGATATTGTTATTATAAAATAATGAATGAATTACTGTAAAATATTTTTAGTAATTATTTACTTTATGTCAGTCTTACCAATTCCCGTCATTTCGAGATAGCTGAAAATTAATTAAATATTTTTTTCAATTAAAAAAATTGCAAACAAAACTAATTTCAGATTCAGTATTCGTACAGTCAATTAATTTTTATTAAAGATCGTGGTTGTTTGACATATCCGTCTCGAGATGTCGTAGTAATATGCTAAGAAACAGAAAAATTAATAAAATTTTTATATAATGAAAGCAGAAGGCTACAGAAAAATAAAATTGTTTATCATGTATTAAAAAACTTTCTGAATGTGAACATATACATCAATTTGATAATTTGCTTAACAATTGTAATCATTTAATAGAACTTGTAAGGGCTGAATGTGAAAAGTATATCGATGTACGAATAAATCATTTAATTCGGTAAAATCTACGAAAAGACAAATATTAAATAAATTAATATTATTTAAGGATAATAAATATATTTAAATTATTTTGTAGTTTTATTTAATACGACATTAAAATATACTATTTTCTGAATTACAAACTTAAAATTGAATATTTGTCATAAGATGCAATATAATGTTTAATTGTAATAAAAATATTACTTAATCCGGATCTGCTTAAAGATGCGCGCGATCAGATTGCCTTCTACACTCCACTTCCCCGGATTTTGCATTCACTGGTACCCGTGCATTGGAAGATACGGCCAGTCTAGGTGGTCTGTGGGTAGAAATAATTTATATGAACACTTGGGTTATATCTCACCCACACCCATAAAATTTTTATCTATACTCCGCGGTAGAAATATAGAGAGTGATGCAGACATAATATAAAAACACTATTACCATAATGCGTATAAAATATAAAATGATTTTTATATGGTTCAATATTATTTACCTTTGTGCCGCTCGCTACGCACATCGACAGAATCTATAATCGTCTATAGACTGAGTTACACTGAACGTCGATCTATATTCCAGCTCTGTCTTTTGCACTTGGTAAGGAATAGGGAAATTCTTTTTTAGTGGGTGTAAACGGACTTGATTTATTCGTCCTGAGAAACGTTATAGCATAAGCGTAGACGAGGGGTCTAATTCCATGGCTATAATAAACTTATAAATTAAAAAAACACAACTGGGACGCTTTAAAATGCTGTAATAATTAAAATGGATCAAAGTGCCGGTTATAGCAAACTGTAAAAAAATATTAGATGTTATGTTTTATTATCTTTTTTCAATATTTTCTATATCTTGTTGCGATGAGTCACTCTTTATAATTTAATAAACCAATAATTGAAAAAAAGATTGTCAAAATCGGATTAACCGTTCAAGAGAAAATCATCTTTCAAATTAGAGCCCATTTTTAGTGGCGTACTAATTTGATGTGTATTTCAAAAATCACAGTAATTGAAACACTAGTTATAATTTATTGTTATTTAATATTTAATATGATTTTTTAAGAAATTGTAAATTATCACAAGACATTAATTCCTTTTTGGTAACTGGATTCTGAGGTTCTTTCGTCTAGATTTGGCGTCAATGACCAACTGAGCCTGTCTCTTCAAGTATCCCCTAGATGGCACTTCCTCTTCATCTTCGGATCCTGAAAGCAAATTGTGTTAGAAAAAATAACATTGTTAGAATCGATATTGTATTACCTGCAGTAGCAGGAGGTGCAGGCGATGTTCCTGGTTGAGGCAGAGGTGTTCTTCTTATTAACCCGCTGTAGGGTGTTGGTAACCACTTATCGTCATATGGTTCAGCATTGAAAACCTATGAATGTAGGTATTTTGAAAAATAAATTCAGGATGTTTTTCAGTATAATTTTACCTATAAAAGGGGCTGATTTTTTAGATTATTCAAAGAAAAATTACGAAATATAAGCATTTATCCTGATCTGCTCCATTCAATATATCTAATTGAGTAATTTCCTTATTTCAAATTTTTATCACCTGACTGTCTCTGAGTTGGTGGTATTTTTTGACTGAAATTCAAATTTCCATCAGGGGAGCAGCTGTAGCAAGTGTTGCAATTTTGGAAAAAATAAACAAAATGCAAACTACTGGTGTCTATAATTTTGTTGTATCCTCTTTAAATAATGGACAAGAATTATACTTTGGTATTTTTTGACTTGAGGATTAACATGACTTTATTAATAACACTTGAAATATTTGAAAATAAAAAGAACTTATAAACTTTGAAGTAAGGTTTATATTTGACCTATAGCATACTGAGAACTAATAAATTCGCAACTGGTATGCATAGGGTTACTAGATCTATTTCATGACAGACCCGGAGGTATGACTCGTTTGTGTAATTGATGCCTTAAAAAGGAGGTTATGCAAATGCAATCAGGAAATCTGGGAGAAAACTGTTGTTTTCGAAGAAATCGATGTCTAAAAAAAAAGACCGCGATCAGAAAAATATCTACTTCGTGGCAGAGATCAGGAATGTTTTTTCCGCAACAAAGAAAACCCGGAGCCTGGAGATATATCATCAAAACCCGGAGATCTGGCAACCCTAGGTATGCGTCTGGCGGATTTGGCTGAAATTATTACCTGTTCTTCAACGTCGAAAGGAATTTCACCGTCATTAATTTTCCTGAGAATCTCCTTCAGTTCCATCTGGATGTGGTTGAGGACAACCAAAGCATTATTTTCTAATATTGCTAGGGGGTTTATGCAAAGGTAAAGCCCCTGCAAACCAGCTAAGATCGATTTCAAAGCCTCGTCTTTCTTTTCTTTCTCCTCTTTGCATTGTCGCGAGCGCTCATGGTTTTCTTCTATTGTTTTTTGTATCCTTTCCATTTCGCCCGTTTTTCTGTAAAGAAAAAGTAACAAAATTTAATGTATTTAACTCTTCAATGGCATCAAATGTATTACCTTTCGGCATCCTTTACTTCGGCATATTTATAAGAGTCTAATTTCTGTTTCAGGACTTCCGTTTTCTTTTCCAATTTGTGCTTGTCTTCTTCTGCCTTCTTCCTTAGAAGCATCAATCTTTCTTCTGTGTCCTTTTGGGATTTGAACCTCTCTAGCACTTCTTGGGAACTTGTGCCCCCTAAAAAATATAAATATATAAAAATTGAAAAGAAAAATCAAAAAGTGATAGTAAAAGTTGCTCAATATATATATTTTTTTCTACAACCATCAATTGTGTTAAGGATGGAACATAGCTTAATGGGCCAAACGTATAACTATAATGTTGCTCCAATATACAGCATCATAATAAAAAAAAGTACAGAAACCATTTTACCAACAAGTTGGAAATTTCAGTAAGATTGTTTTTTAGGGCGAGAATACCACAAATAGTATTTATTTTATACTCACCATTAAACAACACTAATTATACCTTACTCCTAAAAATATTTCTTTGCCTCCCTGTAGATTTTAAAATCAACAATAACACCCTAAATAATTAAAATTTAATGAAAAATAAAAAATTACATTATAATAATAATATTTACATATTAATGTTAAAATACCTATGTATTGTTGTAAATGCTTTACACAATCTAAATTTTATTCAAATTACTAATGGTTTCTGAGATTTTAAATTAATCCTTTATCTCGTAAACAAATCAAGAACTAGGGATTGCACATATTTTTATAATTATAAATTGTAAAGGAAAATGATCGTGTTTAGTGAGGAAGAGCCCTTAAAAAAAGTTGTTTACCCGTAGCTTGCTTCAGGACTTCAAAGGCTTGGGCAAGTGTCTCTACAGGATGCGGTGGCGTGGGCGATTTCTCGTCCTCTGGGGCTGCATCCTCAGCCCCTTCCGGTTCAGGCCGCGGGAGGATCTTTCCGCCTTGGAAGATGCGTCTTTCTAATCTCTCCAATTCGATTTTCCTCTCGTTAACGAGCCTCTTGCCCTCGGTGGCTTCTTTTTCCCTCAAGTTGGCCGCAGAATTCGCTGCTCTCTCCTCTTTCAGCAGGTTCCCCCTCGCTATGTTGCGCATCCTTGTGGCTTCGTCCATAATCTAATCATATTTTATTTCATAAATAAATTTTTTCACATTTTAAAATTATTATTCTGTGTATTATTAGTCAACATTACCTAACTTAATTTCCTCAAATGTGACACCCTGTATACAGTCTTTCTGAAAAGAGTGCGTTCCTTGAAAAGGGTGATAAAGGGCACAAAAATAAGCTAACTTTATTAAGCAACTCATGGTCTAATAAAACATTATGTTTTAAATTCATAAAAAATTTTAGTTAAAAAAAAAGGTTTAAACAAATATAAAGCCGTCCTTGGTGCGGCAGCCAGTTGTACCTTTGATATCGAAGTTGCAGTGCGAAAGTGCTGATGGCGGTTTTGACGGTTTAATTTTTCTGTTCGAAAATACTGAAATTTATTCAAAGCTCGTTTAAAAATAACACAAAAATTAAACGAATTACCAATAGACGATATGGTCTACAAAAATTGTTCAAAATTGTTTCCATGTGCTAATAAACATACTTCCAAACGACGGCGACGGTTAAAATTTGTCCTCGTACGTGCAAATTTTGTCGAATTTCATTAGCTGCAGCAAAAATACGCAGTTGAAGATCTGTTGCATCAACAGTAGGCATTCGGTACATATTTTGATTCGTACACCTCCAAATAAAAAAGTTCATATTCGGACTTCGCGCTGGCCAACGTACAGGGTTATTTCGTCCTATCCACCTTTCCGAAAAGATGGTATATAAAAATCACCATCACCGTCATGCATGAAGAACATTTGGGCACGGATTTATAAAAGGACGTCTTCCAACAAACCCGGTAACGCGTTTGTTAAAAAATCTAAATAAACGTGCAAGTAACACTATCGGAGCGAGTAATCTGTCACCAAAAACACCACGAAACAGTTGCTGGAATAACGGAGATCTCTGAACAACGTGAGGATTTGTATCATACCAATAGTGAAAATTTATTATACCATTTCTAGTAAAACAACATTCAAAATTTACCGATATTTCGAAGCCAACCAATAAAACGCTGGAAACTCATATTCTTCACATAAATGCATCAAAGGCAGGCTACAACAACATGCCTAAGCCGTTCTACAAGTAGAAAAAGAATGCCTGACGAAATCCCCGAAAATCGCGGATGTTTCGAAAATCTGCTCGAAACTCGCCAAAGCTACGAATGGTTTTTTTACTACGTTACAAAAATCACCGATCTTTCGAAAAATTTCACCGACCTTTCGAAATCTCTACCGTCGATCCACCAAGACGACAGCGAGTAGGCGTAGTCATGTTTTGTGGGCGTAATTATCCCCACATCATCGGACGATAACCACGGCCTACGCTAAAGCCTCCCTAAGACCGCCGATGAGAGACATAGGAAATACATTTTTTCACCACCCTTTCGAAATTTCCAGAAATCGACATCGAAGTCGTCTCCTGCAAGAACTCCGAATCGGAATTAATTCAGTTTCGGATAACCAACCACGGCCGAGCAACTAGACCAGGCAAGAATGCAAACGTCTCGCGGGCCGAAACGAGGTATCACTGAACCAATCCACGCAGCAGCCGTTCTACCGGAATTCACCCTGCTGGTGATTGATCGCGTACCCGCGGCAATTGCAGTCTATCAACCAGGGCACACAGTACCTGGTGAGAGTCGAGCACTCGCCGTTCCAAAAGCCTAAGTTCCATATATATATTTACTTATTTTTGAGTTATTTCTCAGATAAAAAATACACAAACCTCGAGCTCACGGTCAGCTCCACGCTGCACCAAGCTTTTAAAAGCCTCAGTACCGGCACTCCAAAGAGTTCGTACATAGTGAATTTAAAAACTGTGAATCAAATACAGTGATTTTCAGACACTAGGGTATTAGACCCGAAACAAGTATATACAGGGTGACACAAAAGCCCGAAGCCCGTTTCCAAATCCCAAGTGGAAACCAGATTAATGAAGTGATCCAACGCCGATTCAGTCGCAATAAACGAAACAAATAGATCGTGGAATCTTCACCTGGGCATATTGGACTCATAACGATGGCGTAGGATCGGAAACATCACCTCCCCTCAATGATGAGAGGAACGAGATGCCGGGGAACTCTCCAGCCCCCCAGCAGGCGTCCAACGCACTGGCACCCGAGGTAAAGAGGGACCCTGGACAATCCGATCCTTCCCGTTCCATCATACGAGTCTTGAACCCAATGGTGATGCTCAGGGGAGAAGCGGACCAGTCTCAACAGCCGGGACCAACCCAGGAGGCAACCAACACGTCTCCACGACATGGCGCCCATCGTGGGGCCATGTTGCGAGACGAAATTGAAGCTAGCCATACACAACCACGACATTATGATGTTTTCTTCGTTGTCGAAAACATGTTGCGGCCTTTCCAATCCCATTATGACCTTCATATATCTGGCGCACATTCCCGGTATCCCGTAACCCTTTTGCACTGTTCTACTATTAGGTTGTCGTCTGTTAGGGTAACGGACCGCATACAAACGACAAGTCTCATTTAAATTGTACTGACATTCTTCGTACATTAATACCATAACTGTTCGTTCTTGATCGGAAAACATTTTATACGCAGGTTAAATAATACTGCACCACAACTAAAGAAAGAACACAAGATATACTGGCCTACCTTCATTTGTTTGATTGTGGTCACGTGGAACGTCAGCCATTTAGAGAAGTGTTTCACGCATGTAGCGTGTACGAACCATTCTGGCCGTGCACGTGCACAAGATGCATATCTCGAAGAGTGCCTTGCGCTGCCCCTCTAAAACGGCAGTAAAGAAAAATATTTTGTGGAATTTGATATTATTTTAGGTGCAAACTGTTATTTAGAGATATAAAATATTTCATATAAACGCTTCAATAAAGTAGAAAAAAATAACGTTAAATAATTCCGGTCCGTATTTATAAAAAACAGAGTCGTAACTACCATATACATTGTGATACCCTGGAGCCTCCAATGATTGATTTTGACTCGAGACCCATTAAAAAAATTTCTATCACATCATGCTGTTGCCTGTTATTCCAAATTTGATTGACGTTAATAAAAAACAACTTTTATGAATGTGCCATATACGTATATTTAAAAAAAAATATACTTAAAATTATTTTTCTCTATAGGTAAATGTTTTATATGAGCAAGCACATTCCCTTCAGAATTTTATACGCAGGTCAAATAATACTGCACCACAACTAAAGAACACAAGATATACTGGCCTACCTACATTTGTTTGATTGTGGTCACGTGGAACGTCAGCCATTTAGAGAACTGTTTCACGCATGTAGCGTATACGAACCATTCTGGCCGTGCACGTGCACAAGATGCACAGGGGCTTACATTTATGGTTTATTTTCTTAATTAATTTTCTCGAAAATAGAAGCATTTAAACAGTCAGTTGTTTAATAAAAGTTGCTCATCTTCGTGCCCTATGTCACCATTTTCAAAGGACGCGTTTTTTTTCATAAACACCCTGTATTATTGCTTGTTTGAGTAATCTTTAAATTTAGGAATATTCATTTATATCGTTTTTTGTAATGTCGGAAAGTGATGACTGATGCCCAATCTCGGACGTAAACAACGAGAGTCATCTAGACACCTAAGTGTGCGGGACCCGAAGTGAAGGGGGAAGAAAAGATAAACATTCTGGCTAGAGCGGAATAAGGGCTGACTTGAGGCATTCATTAGATATACACCAACTACGTAACATGTAAAATACTTACTATTCGAAGTTAATTTAATTATAACGTTTTACAACATTTCCGAGTTTTATTGCATTATTTCTAACAGTAAGTTTTAAGCATATTAGTGTAAGAGTGCTGGGTCAGCAGGTTGCGGCTCCAAGGCAACTAGACAGCCCCGGACGCGGGATGTTTATTTTTTTAAGCACAAACTAAAAATGTTAACGTTGCCAGAGAATGGATATACGCGTTTGTGAGTTGGTACGATGTAGACGGATTTAGTTAAGACTCGTTTTATTAAGTGTTTGAATATAAGGACTAAAATATCCCAGTTTAGTATTTTTGAGAGCCTATCCTAACATTAGTTATCTATTTTACGAAACACGTGTTGGTTGTTCTTAAATACTTCTAAATCCTTGTAAAAATAAATTAATTTGAAATTGTTCATTTCTATAGTATCTATGTAAATAGGACACAAGGGTTAAATTCGGTCTGTACGATTGCAACTATGACAATTTGTTACGGGTTGTCTAAATACGTGACGTCACAGACCGTCACACTTAGCCTCGTTGCACACTTGCCGGATCCGGCTGGCTCTTTCACACGTAATTTAATTTTCAAACCGGTTTGGCCGATATTAGTCTCAGTTGCATTTTTATCACAAGAGATGGATCGTAGACGCATTGCAATTATGTGGCTTGGCTATTGCCGATATTGCAATTAAAAAAAAAATATGAGAAATATCCAAAAAATATGAAAAGGCTAAAGTTTTGTCCCACCGGACAGGTCTGGATTCAAAGTGGTGGCGACCGGCTACAACCCGGCAGCCGTTCGCCGGATAGCTCCTTCCGTCACGTGTGACAGCTGCCATAAGACTCTGTACACCGTGCTACCGGGTAACCGGATTCGGCATGTGTGCAACGGGTGTACAAGAGTCTATTGTCAGTTTATCTGGATTTTAGTCAGGCTTGCAAAGAACCATTTTATATAATTTACGACGTTTTGTATAATAAAATTACCTAGTACGGCAGTTGTAAGAATGGATTTATTTTATCCATTTGGATTTCAATATATCTTTTATATTGTCTTATATTACCAGAACTATCAAAGTACATATCTTAAATGGAACACCCTGTACGGTATGTTCATAAAGTATAGTGACAGAATAAGACAACACTCACCTTTTGCAGTTTATCTATATCTATTTTTTGGCCTTCTAGATCCTCTTCTAGCTTTTTAACGTTGCTGTCGAACTTGTCAGCGTCATCTTTGAGAGACTTTCGGATGTCACAGTAACGATTTTTTATGTGAACCGCTTCTCGTATCTGGACTTCGACTGCGTGAATAGCGTTTTGCAATTCGCTGGTCGACTAAAAACGGAAAAGATCACTAAAAATCGTTAATTTTATATGATTTGTGCAAAACACTTCGTATGTTGTAGTATTGAGCAAACAAGGCCTTTCGTGTTGTAGGTTTTACGTGTTGTCTAGAGCAACGATTGTTTGGGAATTATGAAATTTCCTTGGATTTCTAAGACTAAACTCTATACCGACATATAGTATTCTTCTTGACGAAAATGCGTTGCAATACTGAATGACGGTAGATGTAATGGGGTAAATTAGACCTTTTCTTAATTCAGTATAAAAATGTTTTATGCCATTTTCAGAAAAAGAAATATGAAAATTATTGCAAAAATATTGCCCATAAAACATTTTTTTTCTTTATATCGTTTAAAAGTGCATATTATTTTGTTACTATGGGATATTTATTAACAATATTTTGTCCACTAATGAAAAATAACCATTTTTGTGAAATTAATTTTGATGACAGAGATGGCAGAGAATGATGGCGAAAGACTCAGTTAAATATTTGTATATTTACCTTTTTAACAGGCTTCACTACTTTCCTCATAAGTTCCTTTTGCTCGTGTTGACTTACGAGAAGCTGATATTTAGCTCCTAATTCAGTAAAATATTTTCTTCTCTAAAACAAACGCTTTTGAATTAGAAAAACTTTCTAACAAACTCAAAATAAACTACATCACCATCCTAAGTTTAACCGACGAGTCTGGTAGAGGGGGCGGCAAATTGCTATTCTGTAAGGGCATATATGTTTGTTGTGTTTCATTACCTGTTTTATCTTATATCTCAGGAGATCCAACCTTTTAGAATTATCGATAACCTGCAGATCTAGCAACTCTCTGACTTCGGCGGCGGTTTTGTCCGCCAAAGGCCCTATGATATCCACGATTCTCTTATTTTGAATCCTATACTTGGCCGTGGGAGTGGTACACTCGTGTAGGTCCACTATGAGGAGAGCAATTTCTTTCTTTAGTTGCAGAATTTGGTCCGCGTTAGATATCCTTTCTGCCTCGCATATCTCGAAGAGTGCTTTGCGCTGCCCCTCTAAAACGGCAGTAATGAAAAATATTTTGTGGAATTTGATATTATTTTAGGTGCAAACTGTTATTTAGAGATATAAAATATTTCATATAAACACTTCAATAAAGTAGAAAAAAATAACGTTAAATAATTCCGGTCCGTATTTATAAAAAACAGAGTCGTAACTACCATATACATTGTGATACCCTGGAGCCTCCAATGATTGATTTTGACTCGAGACCCATTAAAAAAATTGCTATCACATCATGCTGTTGCCTGTTATTCTAAATTTGATTGACGTTAATAAAAAACAACTTTTATGTGCCATATACGTATATTTAAAAAAATATAGGTATACTTAAAATTAGTATTGTCTATAAATGTTTTATATGAGCAAGCACATTCCCTTCAGAATTTTATACGCAGGTCAAATAATACTGCACCACAACTAAAGAACACAAGATATACTGGCCTACCTACATTTGTTTGATTGTGGTCACGTGGAACGTCAGCCATTTAGAGAACTGTTTCACGCATGTAGCGTATACGAACCATTCTGGCCGTGCACGTGCACAAGATGCACAGGGGCTTACATTTATGGTTTATTTTCTTAATTAATTTTCTCGAAAATAGAAGCATTTAAACAGTCAGTTGTTTAATAAAAGTTGCTCATCTTCGTGCCCTATGTCACCATTTTCAAAGGACGCGTTTTTTTTCATAAACACCCTGTATTATTGCTTGTTTGAGTAATCTTTAAATTTAGGAATATTCATTTATATCGTTTTTTGTAATGTCGGAAAGTGATGACTGATGCCCAATCTCGGACGTAAACAACGAGAGTCATCTAGACACCTAAGTGTGCGGGACCCGAAGTGAAGGGGGAAGAAAAGATAAACATTCTGGCTAGAGCGGAATAAGGGCTGACTTGAGGCATTCATTAGATATACACCAACTACGTAGCATGTAAAATACTTACTGTTCGAAGTTAATTTAATTATAACGTTTTACAACATTTCCGAGTTTTATTGCATTATTTCTAACAATAAGTTTTAAGCATATTAGTGTAAGAGTGCTGGGTCAGCAGGTTGCGGCTCCAAGGCAACTAGACAGCCCCGGACGCGGGATGTTTATTTTTTTAAGCACAAACTAAAAATGTTAACGTTGCCAGAGAATGGATATACGCGTTTGTGAGTTGGTACGATGTAGACGGATTTAGTTAAGACTCGTTTTATTAAGTGTTTGAATATAAGGACTAAAATATCCCAGTTTAGTATTTTTGAGTGCCTATCCTAACAAGTCAGAAGTGGGATACCTTACTATATAAAACAGTTACAAAAAAAGTGCGCCTACAAAGTTGAAAATGAGTCATCAGGGACAACGTCCCGAAATGCAGAATGCATCTGCCGTTGACAAAGACGTAGAATTGATGAGAAGGCCCGTGTCAGAAACCCGCTCGACCACTCCTCCTATAACTCAAAGAAATTTGGATGCTATGCAAGTCGAATTGGAAATGTTGAGAAGTATCGTAAGTACAGGCTCACGTAATGTTAGTACTCCTCCAGGTATGTGGGGTTTATTTAAAGACGATAGGTTGTTGTCAGATTTCGATCCCTCTAGAGATAATCAAAGTATTAATGATTGGCTTCAAAAGGTTAATGAATGTGCGCAGATTTATAAATGGGACGAAATTACAACCATGTACCTAGCATTAGGAAAATTAAAAGGTATCGCACGTACCTGGTATGAGGGTTTAAAGAATGTCAATTATTCATGGTTGCAGTGGCAGGAAATGCTAAAACAGACATTTCCGACCAAAACCAATTTTGGAAAATTGTTGTACGAGGCGGCAACGTATGAGACGGAGTCTGGTCAAAATTTGTATGATTATTGTTTTTTGAAACTCACCAAATTAAATCAGTTACAATTGCCATTAACAAATGATCAAATAATTGATAGTATTATTGAAGGTGTACGAGACAAGCGAACTCAGATTTCATTGAGAGGAGCTAGTTACAAGACATTTGTAGAATTTGCAGCGTATGTCAAAACTTTTCCCCCTGTCTACGGGAAACCGGACATAAAAAAACGGACACTCGATGTTTCGGTATCTAATAGGTCATTCAAAATCGTTAAATCGCTGTCCAGTCCAAATAAAGTAACTCGGTGTTATGAATGCAATGAAATAGGCCACAAGCGACATACTTGTCCGAAATTTAGTGCACAACCTTCCTCGTCAAATGTGTGCACAGTGTGTCGGAAAGCTGGTCATAACGAAAATAATTGTTTTAAAAGGAAAAAGGTGAACCAAAAAACGGAACATAAAAATGTTAATTTCCTAGTTACTAATAAAAATAGCATCTATCATAAGCGTGCAAAAATCGGAAATATCAAATTAAAATGTTTCATTGATTTGGGAAGTGAATGTACCCTAATAAAACAATCCGTCGCTGATAAATTGCAGTTGAATTTGAAACAAATAAATAGACCTGTAGAATTGTTTGGGTTTAATGGAGGCCGGCTAGTTCCCGATCTCGAGTGTGTCACGTCCGTAACTANAAGAATCTATTGGTTCGTGTGAAGAGTTGTGGCAAAGAATACAAATCGCTGCCAACGAAGTCAAACGCAATCCCAATATGTTGTTTCAAACTCGAAGATCTCTCAGAAAACGTTGTGTAAAGTATGTAAATGTCAACGGTGGATTCTTCGAACACTGACTGTAAATCATTATTACAAATTTCATTTGTTTTATGGTTAATTGTTGTAATAACACGAAGAAACACTTGGTTTGTTTCGCTTTTAATTTCTCGTATTATCAAAACATAGTGTTGGTTAAATCGATTTTTCTCGAAAACGGATCGAAATACCGAAATGAAACATAAATACATAATTAATGGAAAAATGATTGCTCTTTCAGGTTTTGAATCAAGTGTCATGTTAGACATACAGGGTAAAATATTTATTAACTAAATTTTCGGTAAAATTGGTCGTAAGTGGCGCCCTCTATGAGCAATGCTGAAATTACAACGCGTATCTTATTCGTCACCTAAAAAAATATAGTTTCACAAATTTTCAAGTTCCTAATCTACATATTTTCAGAATAATCGCAAAAAAAAAACGATTTAAAATTTTAACTTTCAACACCCTGTATTTCCGAAACTATCAACTTTCGGACAAGGCAAGTTTGCGCCAATGGTAACTAATTAACTATTTCACGTGTAGTATCTTCAGCTTTCGATTTTCCCATTGTTAATGAATCACCCTGTATAGAAATTGTACATATAAGACGGAATTCCATCAGCTTATATAAAAATTTGGCAGTGGTGTAACATTTTTATATAAAAGACAAGTCTAGTTATGATAATAGCTCAACTATGGAATTATATCGAACTGAAATAATATTTTTATTTACAAATGATTTTATGTAGGTACCTACTAGAAAGAGTAATTCGTACCTAATTCGAAGCTAATTTGGTTTATTAATTTTGTGGTTACAAAAAAGTTTCCTTCAATTTCAATTTATACACCCTGTAATTCGCAAATGAAGTGTATTCCAATTCCCCAGTGTTTTTCGGATTTCACTCAACTTTCGAATCTACCTACGAATCCAATTATAGATACCCTATCCGCGAAAAATCCAGCCAAAAGTGCCGATACTTGAGAACGCTTAGTCGATCAACCCTATAAAGTAGAACACGTTGAATTAAAATTTTTTAATCCAAACGAAATTTCTAACTCTTTTAAATCAAATTGAAATTATACCATCTATATTTCGATCGGAATTTTCACCAATGTTTTAAATTGAAATTTTCGCCCATGTTTCGAAATGAAATCACCTATTGAATTCATGGTATAGTAAAAATTTACAATAATGAATTCTTTGTTGCTAAAACCACAGAACATCCCTAACTACTAAAACATAGTGGGTTACTATTTTTCTGTTTTGTGGGCAGAGGTGTCCGACATCCCCGACTACCTCTATAGGAGGTATGAGATATATAAATACATGATAGACGCAAATTGTTTTCTGGCAAATAAATTTTGCCTGTCCTATCTTCAATCAGTAAACGAATTGTATTCAAATTTAATTTAAGGTATGTTACAATATCTTTCAGTTATCTTTTAAAATTACACTTTAATATGAAAGTCCAGTTGCGTGTATACAGGGTGAGTCAAGTTTTCATGGTCAAATTTATCATTCAATTGTTTTTCTAAGTCAAAAACTTCATGTAAACATTGGTTGTAGAACGCTTTGTTATCGAGACACAATCTTGAAATTTAAAAAATAACATTCTTTTATTCAAATATCTCTAAGCCGCTCGTCACAGGTTAATGAAACCAGGCCCGGATCCAGAGACTGGTTTTGGGGGTGGCGCAAAGCACTTCATTATTATTATTATTATTATTATTATTATTATTATTATTATTATTGTTGTTATTTTTTTGATGACGTAAGGTGTAGGTTAGGAAGGGGGACTTGCATTAATATCGACTAACTGCCTGTTGTCGTTTGGAGAAATTGAAGATCTTTAAAAAATGTTGTGCTTTGGGGGTGGCGATCGCCACATCGCCACCCCCTCTGGATCCGGGCCTGAATGAAACTTGGGGTAAAAACTTGACTAATTGCCGATAAAAAATGTCTGAGTTTTTACACACATTCAACCAGTGTTAGATATACCTACGGAGAGATTCAGTAGGTATTTTTTTATTACAAATATAATTTTAAATACGATACAACCCATCAACAACAAAAAATTGTTTATACAATTTAAAATTTTTTTGGATTTACTATAAGAAAATTAAAATTCCTGAACCAATTTTATTTGGACAACTACATTACATTCAAAATTTTAATAAATATTTCTCATGAATTTGATTTAGAAAAAAATGTTTAACTGTAATGTTAAATTACAATTGTGAATTATCACAATTTGTGATTAATTTTTCCAATCCAGTTTTAGATTTAATTGTTAATTTCAACAACTTCTATGTAAATATAGCTGATAATACTACACTATGTTACTACTACTTTAGATAAAATTTAATTATATTATAGCACGCTTTAGATAAACTCTCTTACCATCACTTAAGTGGTGTGTTTACTATACTATTTATTTATGATGTTTTCGGTAGATACTTGCGTGAGGTACTTTATGTACGTCGTTGAAAGATACAATACTTATTAATTGTTATAAATAAGGAGACCTTTAACACTTTCTCTATATGGCTTTGTACATGTCATTTTTTAATATAACTAATAAAATTTAAAATAACTTATTGGTACATACTACGTAAATGTGGAAATATTAGAAGTACTTGAGAATATTTTTGAAAATCGCTATTTAAAAAATACTGATGAATTCCTTATGCTAATAAGTACATACTCATGATATGAAATGGTCCAATATACATTCTTTTTTTTTTGATAAAATATTTTACTGTTGTTAAAACTCTAAAAATAACAATTGCTTATCATGTTTGTGGTTTTTACAAGATTTAAATCCATAATAAGCAACTCACCTTTGTTTATTATTTTTAAAACGTCATGTTCTGGTGACCTCTATGTAAATGAATGAATCAATAGACGTTTTTTTAGATTCTTTCGCTTTTGCCCCATTTTTTAAAGCATGTGAAAAAATGATAAAATTGGTCTTAAAAATTTTGTTTAAATTATCTGAAAGCAGTTTTGGTCTTAATGACAGACTTGCTCTCAACATCTTTTTTGCTTTTTTAAAATTTCCAATATAAACCAATTATAAGAACACATTTTAACTACTTCACAATATCAAGAAGATTAGATATTACAAATTGAGAAACTATATATAAATCCAAACATGTACAGTCTCAGTAAGGGGTACCCAGTATTTCATATACCGTATACCCAACATGGCTATAGTCGCTGTGCTTCAGCTTATTTTCTTTGTAACGTACATCTCAACACAGACGTTACCAACTAACTATGAATACTATACATCAAACGGCATAAGTTCAGGACTATCGTCAGATCAAACTAATTTTATATTAAATGGAAAAGAAATTAGCATTTACAGTGGTGCTATGCACTACTTCAGGGTGCCCAAGGCTTACTGGAGAGACAGGTTGCGAAAAATGAGGGCAGCGGGGCTCAATGCCGTGGAAACTTACATTCCGTGGAATTTACATGAGTATGAGTCAGGTAAGTGCAACCCACCAAATTGTCATATGAAAATTACGAAATTATTGAAGTTAACTTGATGGTTCAGGTCGGTACGACTTTGGAAGTGGAGGCTCTGAAATGCAAGACTTCTTAGATGTCGCAGAATTTTTGAAAATCGCCCAAGAAGAAGACCTCTTCGCCATAATTCGATCTGGTCCGTTCATTTGCGGTGAATTTGAATTTGGGGGATTCCCAAGTTGGTTGTTAAGGGAGGAAATGACAGTTCGTACTTCAGATGCGACCTACATGAAGTATGTGACGAGATATTTCAACGTACTTATGCCAATTCTTGCACCGTTCCAATTTCAAAAAGGTGGATCGATCATAGCCATGCAAGTAGAAAATGAATATGCATTAATGTGGAAAAATGCGGATATGGTGTACCTAAAAGCTCTTAGACAGCTAATGTTGGACAATGGTGAGTAATTTTTTTAACTTCTCAATCTCCCAAATTAAGAAGACCTTAACTCTCAAATGTATGTCTTTATCTTAGATTTGTCATCTAAATATTGAGTCTTCAACACAAAATTAATGAATATGAATTGTTTGTAGACCTTATTATGATATATTTAAATGAATATTGGCTTCCAGTAGATAAACTGTTAGCTATGATGCCTGTAAGATATAATCTTGCCTCTGATTTTGTAATGAAAGTAATAATAATATCTTTAAAAATTATATAATCAATTTATTTTCCCCTCAGGTATAATCGAATTATTGGTGACCTCAGACAACCCTGACAGGGGCACAGTGGGTACTATTCCTGAACTATTTCTGATGACAGCCAATTACGATAAAAACCCTGTGACCCAGCTAGACATGATGAAGGAGCTTCAACCTAATAAACCTCTCATGACTATGGAATACTGGGCGGGATGGTTTGACTCTTGGGGCGTGAGTCACAACAGTAAGACACTTGAGGAATTTGAACAAGTTTATGAAGCTATATTGAGTTATCCCTCTTCCGTCAACATATACATGTTCCATGGAGGCTCTAATTTCCGCTTCCTCAATGGTGCATCTGATACGGACGCAAGCGATGGAAATGCAGGTAATTTTTCTACAAATTTGATCACTTAACCACACTTGCTTAACTGTTGATATTGCGGAAAGCAACTACTCTGGGGACTAATGCCGCAACCAGCATTGAATTATACTTGCAGTATCTAGTGCATCGAGTTGTAGTGACCATTCATAGATTTAGCACTATTTTGTTGTAACTTTTTCTTTTAAAAATTGCAGCCCACAAAGTTCCTTTTTTTACGATGACGATTTAAAAAATATAAATCGTTACACTTTTCGTTAATTCAATTTTATTTTTCAGCTTTTCAACCTATAACATCGAGCTACGATTACGATTCACCCTTAACTGAAGGTGGTGATTATACAGAAAAATATTACAAAGCTAAGGAGCTTCTAGCAAAATACAACCCTATACAAACCAAACTACCTGACGTTCCCGAGCTGATACCTAAAATAGCTTACCCCACGATTACAGTAAATCAACAGTTATACATAGACGATGCTCTGAAATCACTCCAATCTGTGTATTCGGAAAAATTGATAGCAATGGAAAAACTGGACATCAACAATGACTCGGGACAGAGTTACGGATACATAGTATACCGTAAAGAAAACCTAAAACTTGAAGCCAACTCCGTCTTGACCATCGAAGGGAGAATCTGCGACACCATAATGGTACTAGTTAATGGAAAATTGGTATCGCATTGGTTGGAAAATGTTAAAGATCTAGATCAATTTGGAACTTGGAGGTGGAAAGATTCCTACTTAACTCTAACCGAGGAAGAGCTAGAGGGCGCTACGTTAGAACTAGTGGTGGAAAATTGGGGACGAGTAAATGTGGTGTCTTATAAACAATACAAGGGACTCTACCAAGGAGCCGCCAAAATAAACAATGTCGAATTGACAGGTTGGACTATTTTCCCATTGGAATTCAAAAAATCTTGGACCAACAGCCTTTCCGGATGGGGGTCTGTTAATTTGGATAGCACTGGTCCTTCACTGTACAAAGCCACTTTGACTATAGCAAACGAACCGCAAGATACCTTTGTTTATATGGAAAATTGGAAAAAAGGAATCGTTATCGTGAACGGTTTTGTCATTGGTAGATATGCTAGAATGGGACCTGTTCAGACTTTATATTTACCAGCACCATTCCTAAAGCAGGGTGATAATGATATCGTTATATTCGAACATTTTAAACCTGGAGGAGACATCAGCTTTTCGACTGAACATATTTATGCGATACACTAATAATAAATTTAAACCTAATTGTGTATTTAGTTGCTGAAACTGAAATATTAACTATAATATTAATAATAATATTATAAAATAACTTATTTTGTTTTAATTTGGTTTACACTATTTAATACAGTTTGGCCTATTAAGAACTACATTTTTTGGATTCAACGCATTTTTTTTTCATATCAGTCGTCTTAAGAGATACAAAGTCACTCAAATAAGGACAGTTGTTGTAGAATTTGATATACGAATTTTTTTTTTAATCAGAAAGTGAAAGGTAGACATTTTAAATTTGGACATTGATAAGACACTTTTTCTGGATAATTCAAATACGAATATGAAGAAATACATACAATTTTTGTTTTTCTTATGAACTTATAAACACCAGACTGGATTTTTGCTTTTTTGACTAGGGCAATTTTGCCCCAAAATTGCGGCACTTTAAGCTACCATTACTTACACGCCATCTACCAATCATTGAATCATTCATAAGTACTATCTTCTGCGTAGAGGCCCCACATACTTCTATCCTATACTAATCATTTTGCGATTGACTTGAAGCCGAAAAGTGGGGCGACGGACCAGCGTATTCATACGCATGCGCTTCCTTTATGGGTTTTGATTGGTTGAAAGGAACCAAGAACGGTAAACAGTAAGAAAGCCAAGCTAACCTAAAAATATTCTCATTATGTTTTGTGTTGATGTGTTGTGTTAGTCCTTTGGTGTATTTTCTCTAATAATTGCGACTATTATCCTGTATATATTTTAACCAAAAACTTTATTAAACTTTGTTTGTTGTTAGTTATTAGTATTAGAGATATGGGTAGACTTTGTGCCTTATGTCGTTCAAAGAAAAGCGAAGAAATTTAGCTCCACGGGTAAGTACATTATATTTTTATTATTATTCAATATTGTACACTGAACTGGTTTATTATGCAAAAATCGATATATATGTTTGATAGATATTATATTTATGCGTACTTTTATAGTATATATTCATGGGTATTGTATTGCTTAAGCCATGCTCTTGTAATTAAATTTTCGTTCTTTTGACAAATTACTGAAATGCTGTCGATAAAAATACATTGTTAGGTAGTTCAGCAACTTTCAGCAGTTAGTGTTTGTATTTTATTTTTGTACCTACCTTAAAGAAAACTTTTTCTTTAGATTTCCTACAAATAAGGAAATGGAAGCCAAGTGGAAACTAGCTTGTGGATTTGAAAAATCTGATTGTGTTAAAACCATTGTCATTTGCTCAAACCACTTTAAGGTGGAAGACTATTATACTAGATTTATTGGGTCATATGATAAAAGGAAGTTAAAACCTAACGCTGTACCATCCGTGAATGTTCCGCATAAGGAAAATATTTCTCCAAATGTCCAACAGTTATCAGGTAACCTATATACGTACTAAATATTTATCCAATAGCTAATATATTTTTAATTTTAAGTAACATTTATGCAGGTTCTAAATAAATATAATAAAATTCAGGGCATTACTCCTCAATGAAAATTAATAGGAGTTTTTCATATGAAGAATTCTACGGATCCCTGTGAAAAACGTTTCTCAATTTTCAAAGAGAAATTACCCCTGAATGTTTTTGCATCACAAAGTTACTTTTTAATCTAAAAAATAGGAATAAAGTACCTAATATGTCAATGGAACACAGTTTTTGTAACTTATTTATTTCCTATATTTATGTACAGGGTGGCTGATTTTCGAGCCTCATTGCGATCTTGGAAACAATAAGAGATACAAGCTAGATTAGTTAAATTATGGCAAAGTTGCGCAATCTGATAGTTGTCAAGATGCTATGTTGAACTTTGTAAAATTCTGAAAACTTTCAGAAATATCTGAAAAAAAAACGAATTTTCATAAAATCTTTTACTTTTTTCGACATTATTTGAAAACAAATTACACTTCTGTCTAAATTCTTCTAAATTTTATATTCAGTTTAAATTAAACATGCTTTTTATTACAGCAGTGGAAAAGAAAAACGAGAGCGATGAATTTAGTGAAGTCCCTTCAAAAAAACTTAAGATGGATCGGATGACAAAGAACGAATCAATGGAAAGGATTGTATCATCTCAACCTAAGTTTACTGAATTACCCTCAACTTCTGCCTTAGAAAGTGATCCATTGTCAGGTGAAGATGTTATTGTTTCTACCCCTAGAAAAAATCAGAGAATCGGAAGATCAAGCCCAGATGTAGCAACACCAAGACGTGCTAAGAGAGCTCTCTACCAGTCCCGATATGTTCAAGGTCAACTTCGGTATAGGATTAAAAAATTGCAGCAAGATAAAAGACGACTTGTAAAGAAGATATCGACATTGAAGGAACTTGTAGAAAAATTAAAATCTAATAAGTGAAAATTGTGGCGATATATTAATGGTAAAGTTATAATGGTTATAGTTGGTTAATATTAGAAGATGGGTTGGAACCTTCGGTGTAGACACTATCGGAGATGAGTTCTCCACACACCGAAACGAGGTACTTTTACTGAACATCAAATTTAATCATCCTTGTATGATGTTACCTTGGTTAGAAAAACGTATCGGGAAAAGTACCACCCTTGGTGTGTGGCGAACTCATCCCTGGTAATGCTATACTTGTACAGGGTGTCTCAGATTTTAGTCAAGAAAATTTGACGAGCAATAGAACTTACAAAAACTTATATGAACTTGTATATTTTAAAGCTTCGTTTTCAAGATACAAATTGTTAAAATTAACAAAAAAAAATCCTTCAAATACCCCAAAAACCATCTGGCTGATTATGGTAAAATTCCATTTTTTTTAGTGATAAGTAGATATCTTTATCTGATGTGATTAGACTTTACTCATTTACCAAAAATATTTTTTGGTAAATTTTACACCCTCTATCTTGAAAGTAAAACTGAGAAACCTGTAAATTCATATGAACTTTTCCTTTTATTTTTACAAGTTCTATTACCAGTTATATTTTCCCGATTACAATCTGAGATACTATACTTTTTTTAATATTCCATAAATAGGTGGGAAGCAATATTTATGGTCCATGAATATGAAACCATATTTTCAATTCATGTTCTTTCATTATAACAAAACAACAAAAATAAAACAATTAAGTCAATTATAATTAGATATTGTATTGTTGTTTCGTTGCATCGGTTGGAAAATTAGAAAGAAAAATTGAAAAGTTATTTTTGTAAAAATTGGAAAATGTACTTTTTCAGTGACTGATGAACAAAACCAAATTATATAATTTTTATAAATGTTAAATGTGTATTTACAGGACAGAACTCCCCCAGTAATAGTGGAATTGATAAACTCCAAAATAAAATCAAGAAAATTGAAGTACTCGCAACAACTGAGATGTTTTGCTTTAACTCTTCAATTCTATTCATCCAGAGCATATAACTATGTAAGACAATGGGGAAACCTGCTACCTCATCCGTCAACTTTGAGACGGTGGTACACCATTGTCAATGGAAGACCTGGTTTTACTCAGGAAGCATTTCAAATTTTAAAAGAAAAATCAAAAAATGAATCAGTTATTTGCAACATCACAATAGATGAAATGTCAGTACGAAGCCAAATACTTTATAAAGGCAGCAGATTATTTGGATATGTTGACTTGGGAAGTGGAGACATTCCCACGGATTCTTGCCCCCTTGCGAAAAGTGCCCTTGTTTTTATGGCAGTTGATCTTAGGGGGCACTGGAAAATCCCACTGGGTTACTTTTTAATTAAATCACTTAATGGAATGGAAAGGGCAAATTTATTAAAAACTTGTTTCGTATTGTTGCATGAAACTGGCAAATTTGCCAGTCAATTTGCTTTGATGGGGCTAGTGTGAATCTGTCAATGGCTAAATGTTTAGGTGCCAATTTTGAATACGGATTTGCTTTTAAACCCTATTTTTCTCATCCAGTTACAAAAGAAAATGTTTATGTATTTTGGGATGCTTGTCATATGATAAAGCTTGTTCGCAACACATTTGGAGACAAAAAAGTTCTCTACGATGAAGAAAACTTACCCATAATGTGGGACTTCATAGAAAATATTGTGAAAATTCAAGAACAGGAGGGGCTTCATTTAGGGTGTAAAATTAATAAACAGCATATTTGTTATTATGATAATAAAATGCGTGTTAGACTTGCGGCACAAGTTTTAAGCGAATCTGTGCATAGTGCACTCATATATTTACAACGAAAAAATGCTACTTTTACAGATACTTTTACATACACCTAATACAAATGCTGATAATAATTAATACATTATATTATCAAAATTCAAATTTCATTAGAAAACTCGATGGGTGATGATCGATCTAAGTAGGGATCTTGTACTATAACATTTATTGGTTTTTAAAAGTGATATGTTTTGTAAATTTACTTCTTACTGACACATTAACTAATTTGGATGCCTCATAATGAACTCTCACAGTGATATACTTTAAGCAAATCAATTTAATTAATTCTACTCTGTGGTTGTCCAAAATATTCTGCGTTTTTATATGTTCCACCATATAACTATCAGAAAAAACATGTACATTGTATAAAATTTTGTTTACAATTACTTTTTCAAAATGTTTTATTTTTTTAATAGAACATTCCATTTGCCTAATAAGTATTTCAATCGCCTTACAAATCTTTATAACATCATACGATGGCATAACGTAAGACCCCCTATTTTTCAGATGAGTCAATAGTACTTTATCTTTTCCGACTAAATATTTTCTACAAATTTCACGTAATTTTTTTTAAATTCACGAGGAAATAAATCCTGCTATATATGAAGTGACATCTTCTACGTAAGGAGAGAGTTCGTATAACGTTTTTACATAATCATGGTCAAATAAGGCGTTATCATCTGTTGCTACATTTTCATTTGTCTCGCAAAGCGGATCTGTTATTTTATTTGAGCAGTAATTTAAAATCGGAACATGGTCCAACTGGCAACTGCCATCTTGAGAGGCACACACCTCATTTTTTACAAGGAGCCTTTTATACGCCGCCTCAAATTGAATGGCGTTCGGGTTATTATTAAAGCCACCCCTACTTCTTATTGCCCCAAAGAATG